GTGGTCTTGATCTCCCCGTTACCTTATGCAGCGGTGACCCCACATTCCCAGTCCCGAATTTCCCCCAAACTGTCTGACCTGAGGGGTCCAGCCTTCTTTTGAAACACTCAGAAATAATAAGGTTTGTTTACTCCTTTAAAGAGACAAAAGCATATTGCAGCTTATTGGGGGGGAGGAATAGCTCAGTGGTTTGAGCATTGGCCTGCTAAACCGAGGGTTGAGAGTTTAATCCTTGAGGGGGCCGTTTAGGGATCTGGGGCAAAAATCTGTCTGGGGATTGGTCCTGCTTTGAGCCCGGGGTTGGACTAGATGACCTCCAACCCTGATATTCTATGATTAATTTTACTGGGATAAATACACACTCAAACACAGCACTGAGTTGGTTTATTGGAAAAATAAAACACATTTATTAACAAAAGGGCACAGGGTTAAGTGATACCAAGTAGAAGGAATGAAGTTAGAAAGGGTTACAAAGAAAAGTAAAAATACACATTCTAATGGCTGAGACCTAACTTAATAAGCTACAATCTTTGTTCAAGGTCCTTACCACTCTTCCATTCCCGGAGACACCCCATGGTTGAAGGACTATCTTTCTCAGCTTGCAAAAGCTCTGGCTCCTTGTGTCTGTCCAGTAATAGATGCCAAGATGACTTCTCCTCTTTCCATATATCTTCCCAAACTTACTGTTTTGTTCCAAGGCTCAGGATGACCTCATGCTGTTCTTCTCTTCCTGTGGACTTCCCATCACTCTGCTGAGTTGTATAAAATGAGGCTTCCCCTGTTATTGATCACACCTTGCTTAATTTCATTGGAGACCGGTAGATAGGATTTCTCCCAGACAGGAAGGCAGCTGTTTCTCCCTGTGTTTGGTCACAGACGTTAAAGCATGAGATCACTGAGTATCCATATTTCCTCATATAGTGTTAATATATACATTTCAGAATATTAATCACCAGTATGTCATTAGCTTTCATCAGAGGTCTTACCTGATACACTTCTATAATACAGTATATTATATACAATCGGTTAATTCAATTACTTATTAGAGGTTCAGACCCAGACTTTATTGCCAAGAGAAAATTTCTCTCTCTCTTGCTGGGGAGTAAATGCCATGATGTCTTCTCTCTCACTGGATAGCTTTGTTTACCTTATATATGTAGATGGACTGTCATTGTCTCTGCCTGATGCCCAGGCTGGACAGACAGACAAATACACATTCCTTTGTCTAGGCCAGACTGGACTTACGGATGGCTTGCCAAACAATTTTAAGAACATAATTCTAGCACATATTCATAACTCTTTGTACACGCCCTGTGCAGACATCTTGCAAGAATATTAATGATCAGTGAGTTATTAGTTTTCCATTGGTATCGGACATGCTACCTTTTAGATACAGATAATAACAGTGTGCTAAGTGTAATGAGTATGTCAGGCCTGAGAAGAGCTGCTAACACAGAGTAGTAAACCACAAATGGGTCTCTATGTCACACCCACCAACTGCATTTTGTCCTCTTTTGCAACACATACAGGGTCCAAATTCATGGGGCGGGGGAAGGTCCAAAATGATAGGCCAGTGTCCTCCTCCTCCTTCATGGCCACTTCTTCCTCCTACCTGTGCTGAGGGGGCACTGACCCCTGCATAGCTGCGCCCTCTGCCCTAGCACCACAACCCCCGTCCAGTACAGAGCGGAGGGAGGTCCTGCACTCACCTCACAGCGGGGCCCCTCTCCTGCAGGGCCAGGGCCAGGCCCAGCTCTCCCCAGGACAAAAGGCAAGGCTGAAGGGTAACTGTGGGATGGGCTTGCTCTCCAATCATCCCCACCTCCCGAGCCCTCCCCTTCAAACTGGTCCTATCTAGAACCCAGTGAGACACACCAGTGTAGGCCCATTACTAGATGGAGATAGTAAAATTGTTGTTAATTATGCAGAAAAAGTGGAAGTATTCAATAAACATTTCTGTTGTTTTTGGAAAGAAGCAGGATGATGTACTCACATGATGCTGATGATGAAGTGCTTTCCAGTCTAATAGCAAATGAAAAGGATGTTAGACAACAGCTACTAAGGATAAACATTTTAAAATCAGAAGGGCTGAATAACTTGGCCAAAAACATCCCAGTTGGCTGAGGAGATAACTGGTCCACTGATGTTAATTTTTAATAAATATTGGAATACTGGGGAAATTCCAGAAGACTGGAAGAGTACTAACGCTGTGCCAATATTCAAAAAGGGCAAATGGGATGGCCCAAGTAACTATAGGATGGCTAACCTGACATCAATCCTGGGCATAATAATAGAAACCATGATATGGGAGTCAACCGATAAAGAATATAATTAATGCAAACCAACATGGTTTTATGGAAAATAGGCCTTGTCAAGCAAAACTTATTTCATTTGATGAGGTTACAAGTTTGGTTGATAATGGTAACTGCATAGATGTAAGATACATTGACTTTTGTAAGATATTTGACTTTAATCAGAACATTCTGATTAAAAAATTAGCACTATACAATATCAATAAAGCACATGTTAAATTGATTAAGGTCTGGCTAACCAACAGATCTCAAAAAGTAGTTGTCAATAGGGAATCATAATTGAATGCAGGTGTTTCTAGCAGGGTTCTGTACTAGGACTGATACTACTCATCATTTTCATCAACGATCTGAAAGTAAATATAAAATCACTCCGGATAATATTTGTGGATGACACAAAGATTGGGGGAACAGTCAACAACAATGAGGATAGAGCAGCCATACAGTGATCTAGGTTGGTTGGGAAGCTGAGACCATTCAAACAAAATGTGTTTTAATACAGCCAGATGCAAAGTTATACACCTAAGAACAAGGAATGCAGACCAGCCCTTCGGAATGGGGGCCTGTGTCCTGGAAAACAGTGACTCTGAAAAGGATTTAGTGGTCACAGTGAACATGTAACTCACAATGAGCTCCCAGGGCAATGCTGTGGCAAGAAAGGCTAATGCCGTCCTGGGTTGTATAAACAGGGTAGTAGGGAGGTTATTATGGCATTGGCGAGACTGATATGAAATAATGCATACAGTTACGGTAACCACCTTTTAAAAAGGATGTTGAAAAATTGGAGCGGGTGAAGAAAAGAGCCACAAAAATGATTTGAAGACCAGAGAAAATGCTTAAAGGGGAAAGACTTAAAGAGCTCCATCTGTTTAGTTCATCAAAAAACAGACTGCAAGGTGATTAGATTACAGTGTATAAGTACCTTCATAGGGAGAAAATACCAGGCACTAAAGAGCTTTTTAATCTAGCTGAGAAAGACGTAACAAGAACCAATGACTGGAAGTTGATGCCAGACAAATTCAAACAACAAATTAGGCACAATTTTTTTTAAGCGTGACAGTGATTAACCATTGGAACACACCTCCAAGGAAAGTGGCACTGTCTCCATCTCTTGTTATCTTCAGATCAAGACTGGATACCTTTCTAGAAGATATGATTTAGCCAAACACAAGTTACTGAGTTCAATGCAGGGATAACCGGGTGAAATGTAATGGCCTGTGATATACAGGAGGCCAGACTAGATGATCTAATGGCCCTTCTGGCCCTGAACTCTCTGAATCTGCACAGAGATAAGCAGGACACACAAGTTATTAAAATAAGTTTATAAAAGCAAAACACATGTGCCCGATGGCATCTGAAAGACAAAAATTAGAAAGCCTTACGCTGGAACTGTTGCATCCCTTATCCAAGAAGAGGAGGCCTGCAGGCAGGCCCATGGTTAATACTTAGCTGTCTATTAACATTTTCTATCTATTAACCCCTGTTAAGTAAATTTGAATTGCTCTATCGGACAGCTGTCCCCAGGGGGGGAAAAAGGAAAGCAGTTAGGACATTGTCATCACTTGATTACCAGGTGACTATTACCATTTGCTGTAATAAACAGGCCAGCATCTATGTTCCTCTGCCCTCTACTGGAACAAATCATATCTATTATTCAAATGTTTAATAGTTAGTTCCCTCTGCCAGCTGTGCTAGCAGTGGCTCCTTTAGCTACATAAGCAGAAACTTGGTATTTGTACGGTCACAAGCAGAACGGTGGAAAACCTGTTGATTTAATTTTGTCTGTTTTGGGGGAAACTATAACAGGTGGTTTCTGTTTACCCAGGCATGGCCTCGAAGGGCTACACTTGGGGTTTTGGTTTCATACCAACTTAAAAACGTAAGGGAAACTAGAGCAAATCTCAGTGGGTTGTAAGGCCTTGTCTACATGAAGGAAAAAGTCTGCAGTAGCTAGTGTGGAATACCCAGTGCACACTAGCTCCCTGCACTAGCTCACAGTGTGGACACACATTTCTCACCTTCATGCACAGTAGCGTAACGCTTTAGGAGTACATTAAGCTAAGCCACCCAAGAGCACTCTTTTAGTGTGCTTTAAATTCACACCCTAGCTTACTGTGCACTAACTTTCCCATGCAGACAAGCCCCAAGAGTGGCCTGCTAAGAGAAGCCCAGAGCAACACACAGAACTATTTGAGATGCAGCGGAAACTTGCACAGAACCTGCCAATCCTGCCAGCATTATCAAGCAATATAAATAAAAATACCTCCTCTCTCCACCTAGAAAGAGCTGGATGCAGAACTTGTCAAAGCATCTCTCTTCAAGCGTTAGCTAAAAGGGTCATTTCTCAAAGGACATGAGGTGTCCACTCCCTACAAGGGCTGTGCACACACCTTCTTGGTCTCAGCCAGAGCAGGTTGCGAGGGGCCAAGCAGAGGACCCAGAGTCATGATTAAGGCCTACTGGATTAGCATAAGAGTCACGGAGACGCTGGCATTCTCCTTTCTGTGCAGCACATATTCTGGTACTGTATACATTCTCCTTTTCACAGGCACTAAATTCACTCCACACAAAAATCAATGAGCTTTGATAGCTGCAGCCTCCACCCATCCAACAGAGGCCCTATCCCTGAGATGATCTGCAGAGGATTGTTTATGGTGATAAAGTTTGCATCTGTGTTCTCCTCTCCTCCAGGGTTAAATAATGCACCTGTCTGTGTTGTGAGAGATGCAGGGAGTTTTTCAAGACCATACCAGGCTGCCAGCAAAATCCTAATCCCACAGCGAGAATATGATCAGCAACATGGGCTAACTGGGCAAGGCATGGGCACGCCATCTCCTAGCAGCACTACACTAAGCCTCCAGGCTTATCCACACGTTGGGAAAGGTCCATCGCGACCAAGTTCACGTGAGTAGCCGCGATTTTGCATAACCCCACAGACTGTTAACATTAAATTTTTTTGACTTGATTTCAACATAAACTAACTGAAAACACATTTCTGTATTAATTTCCAGAGCCTGGAAGAGGAGAAATGGCTGAGTTCTCTAAAAGGTCAAGAGACTCCCTTGCTTTACCGAGAAAGGTAAAGAGAGATTTGCAGTTATTCATAGCAGCCCTATGCCTCAGCACCTTGGTACTGTACATCCACTCAGAGCTCTCATACTGCCAGGGAGAGCAACTGTGCAACACAGACTGCGGCCTTTAAAATATTACAAGGACCTAAAATGAGTGATCATAAACATCAAGCAAGTAGAGGAGGGAGCTTTGAAATGATGTGGTTTCATTTCTAATATATAAACATTGTCTAACTTTTCATTCTTCAGCATTTTATGTCAATAATTTAAACTAATTAAGAGTCTGAGCATGTGCTGCATTATATACAAGAGGTCAGTTTTTCTTTTATGGCCATGCTCAGTAATCTGCTATAGTTAACAATTCAATTAGTTATACTTTGCACTTAGAGCACCTTTTTTCTAACATCCTCAAAGCATTTTACAAACACAGCATCCTGTTAAGTGCAATATTATACCCATTTTTTTCACTGATTGGTAAACTGAGGTACAGAGAAATTAAGTGATTCACCCAACACTATATAGTGTCAGAGCTGGGAACAGAACCCAGGAGTCCTGATCCCCTGTCACCAGTTTGCATAAAGTGTTTTTCCAACTCCCTGCTTTTCCCGGAGTTTATAACTCCCATAACGGGTTTGAAGGCAAACCTTTGCCTACAATGACTCACATCTGCAGAGATTTTTTTTTAAAATATGAAAAATCCAGATTTAAGGATTATGACCCAGATCCACAAAGCTCTTTAGGTGTCTAAACTTCAGTTTTAGGCACCGAAGTCCCAATTTTATGTACCTTTGTGATCCACAAAATCCCTGCTTGGCTGCCTCCTAACCCTGTAGGTGCCTAAACTAACTCAACAAAGTCCCTCTGTGGATCTGGGTCTATGGCACCAACATCTGGGCATATTGGGGCACTGCACCTATTGCGACCAGTGATTGGAGACTAAATTATTAAGTGTATTTCTCCTTTTTTGGGCCCTGTTGCATGGAATCTCTAACAGTTTTAGTGATGGTTTCTACTCCCATTGAAGCCAATGGTAAAATAATCATTGGCTTCTAGGGACGCAAGATTGGGTACGTCTTCATTTAGCCTTTAATTGTGTAACTGGTATCTGCTGAATCCTTTCATACCTTACTTTCTACTTAGGAAGATCCTTTGAAAAAACAATCAGCTCGTCCTCTGACTGCAGTTGGCCATGAGATCCATCCTTCTTCTCTTACCCGTCCCTCTTCTCCAGCCCGTTTTATGCATTACAAGCCAGAAGTCAGAGAGAATATAAACTATGTTCCAAACTATCTGGATCAGGAAATAAAAGTAAGTGGTAACCTTTTGTATTAGGTTTCCATTTCCCAGAAGGGGGAGCATGGAGGTTTCAGTTCTTGCAGCCTGTATCTACCTGACCTGTTAATTTGTATTCAGAAGTTATTTTGGGAGTTCCTAGGGAGCTGCCCCTGCCAAACTGGAAGCCTCATACAGTATTCCTATTGGAAATGTTAGAAATGGACGGAGCAGAGTAGTAGTTACCTGAGCTGCAATCAGTGCTCTCTGCAATGCCGTGTACATGGCATACTCCCCAAAGCTCCAGGTCCCCTGCAGTGCTGCATACAAGGTGCTCCCCTCATTGCACGGTATGAATGGCTGTTGTCTAGGGTGAAACAAAACTGGTTTTTTTTTTTAAAGGCAATTTCATTCTGGGCAGTTTGTACAACTGTAAAATTTTGCACACAATTTCACAAAATTGGGGCTGAACTGAAACAGGCAAAAATTGTAACAGTTTAGTGCTATAAAGTAGGGCTGTCAACTACTTGCAGTTAACACTTAACACACAATTAACTAGATTAAAAATAATTGTGATTAATCACAGTGTTATTCACACTTTTAAACAACAGAATACCAATTTAAATGTATTATAAATATTTTTGGATGCTTTTCTACATTTTCAAATATATTGATTTCAGTTACAACACAGAATACAAAGCGTACAGCGCTCACTTTATATTATTTTGATTATAAATATTTGCACTGTAAAAAAAGAAAAAATAGTATTTTTCAGTTCACCTCATACAAGTACTGTAGTGCCATCGCTTTATTGTGAAAGTGCACCTTACAAACGTAGAATTATATTTTTTAAACATAACTGCATTCAAAAACAAAACAATGTAAAACTTTAGACCCTAGAATTCAAAGCATGAAGGGGCATACGAATGTTTAGCATATCAGGCACGTAAATACCTTTTTTTTTGGAAAGAGTCCAGCAGAGGGCAACAAAAATAATTAGGGGTCTGGAGCACATGACTTATGAGGAGAGGCTGAGGGAACTGGGATTGTTTAGTCTCCAGAAGAGACGAATGAGGGGGGATTTGATAGCTGCTTTCAACTACCTGAAGTGGGGTTCCAAAGAGGATGGAGCTCGTCTGTTCTCAGTGGTGGCAGATGATAGAACAAGGAGCAATGGTCTCAAGTTGCAGTGGGGGAGGTCTAGGTTGGATATTAGGAAACACTATTTCACTAGGAGGGTGGTGAAGCACTGGAATGCGTTACCTAGGGAGGTGGTGGAATCTCCTTCCTTGGAGGTTTTTAAGGCCCAGCTTGACAAAGCCCTGGCTGGGATGATTTAGTTGGGAATTGGTCCTGCTTTGAGCAGGGGGTTAGACTAGATGACCTCCTGAGGTCCCTTCCAACTCTGATACTCTATGATTCTATTCTATGATTCTAACACAAGTGATTAACGCAAAACAAATTAACTAGATTAAAAATAATTGTGATTAATCACAGTGTTATTCACACTTTTAAACAACAGAATACCAATTTAAATGTATTATAAATATTTTTGGATGCTTTTCTACATTTTCAAATATATTGATTTCAATTACAACACAGAATACAAAGCGTACAGTGCTCACTTTATTTTTATTATAAATATTTGCACTGTAAAAAAAATAGTATTTTTCAGTTCACTGTAGTGCCATCGCTTTATTGTGAAAATGCAACTTACAAACGTAGAATTATTTTTTTTTAAACATAACTGCATTCAAAAACAAAACAATGTAAAACTTTAGAGCCTAGAATTCAAAGCATGAAGGGGCATACAAATGTTTAGCATATCAGGCACGTAAATACCTTGCAATGCTGGCTACAACAGTGCCATATGAACGCCTGTTCTCACTTTCAGGTGATACTATAAAGAAAGAATGGGTGGTATTATCTCCCGTACATGTAAATTTGTTTGTCTTAGCGATTTGCTGAAAAAAGTAGGACTGAGTGGACTTGTAAATTGGTATTCTATTAACAACAGTGTGATTAAAACTGCAATTAATGTAGACTTTTTTAAATCTCACAATTATTTGTTTTAATTATTTGACTGCCCTACTATAAATCTATCTGGCATATTTGCATCCCCTTTTAAGTCATTATTGTATTGCCCTTCTTCCAGGTCTTGGAAAAACTCCGTGACATTCTACAGACAGACTCCCTTGCAGAGATCCAAGAGTGGCTGTCAAGGGCAAGTATAAGAGGTAAAATGTGCATGTTTGTTAAAATAATAGTAGACCTGTCACAGTTACCTATCTAGCTGCACTACTGTCCTTTCTCACAGTCTCACCAAATGCAACTCTACAGGTGTCAGGTCTTTACAGCTTGTGGATGGAACTCCACAATCCACACGCTCTCAGACCAGGACTTGGGTTACAGCTCCCTGGTTTCTAACTGTGACTAATTCAGCAAGTCCAACTGGGGTTACACTCTGCAAGGATTTCTCTTTGGGAGCATAAAACAGCACACATTTGCAATGAGACAGACACAGCTTCTTCAAAACAGAGCATCATTTCTTTTGCCTAAAAGGTACCCAGTGCTTAGAGAAACAGATTTAAAATAACAAAAACCTACATCCATTTTCCCTTCCTTAAGCTTAGCCACTCTATCCATAGTGGAGGTGTATCTGGCTTACTTCCCATCTCTTACATGGGAGAAACACCCTAACCTGTTCGTGGCCTTCTCCCTCTGGCTCTGAGTGTGTCCTCCCAGCTCTCAGCTTTTCCACTGATATATCCCAGCCAGCTTCCATCAGCTCACCTCCCCAAAAAAACTTTTCTGCCCAGGGAACTTTTTTAACCAGTGAGGGTCTTTTGATCTGAGGCTTAGCCTTGGGAAGAGTAAAACATCCTAGCTTGAATTGAGCCAGCCAGGCAAATTCTCCACCAACCGGTAGTCCAGTCATTGTTATTTTCACTCCCTTGAAGCTGGGTATGTGAGAGACTGTCTTATTTGTGTCATTGTTTCACTTCTCCTGTTCAGTTCTGCAACAACCCCTTTACAGCCTCATTTGATTTAGCTCTATGCATTCAGTAAGCAATACAAAATTGAACAGGGAAACTGAGTCATGCATACACATTTCCCCAGTTAATCACAAGGCCATTTTCTGCATTCCCTTACACTCATGTAATATCTTTGGAGTGCCCACTGAATTGAATTCGTGAGACTGCAAAGATGAAAATGAGGGCAGAATCTGGTCAAGTGTGGTTGGACTAGGGGTAGTAGTTTTGATTACTAGGTTATTGTGATCCTTGTCAGCTAGGGGGGTGGTGGGGAGCTACGGCGTCATTGGCCGGCCTGGGTCACGCGTCTGGTGCCGGGGAATTAGCAGCGGGGAGAGTGCAAGCCAGAGACGGTAGCGCGCCCCTCAGGCAGGGAAGCGCCGGCAAAAGGCTGTGGCGCGCCTCTCAGGCGGGGGGGGACCCCCGCCGGCAAAAGGCTGTAGCACCCCTCAGGTGGGGGGGACCCCCGCCAGCAAAAGGCTGTAGCACCCCTCAGGTGGGGGGGGGACCCCCGCCAGCAAAAGGCTGTAGCACCCCTCAGGCGGCGGGGGGGGGGCCGCCGGCAAAAGGCTGTAGCACCCCTCAGGTGGCGGGGGGGGGGCCGCCGGCAAAAGGCTGTAGCACCCCTCAGGTGGGGGGGGACCCCCGCCGGCAAAAGGCTGTAGCACCCCTCAGGCAGGGGAGTGCCAGCAAAAGGCTGTAGCGCTGTCTGGGTTTTGGTCCCGAGGCACGTCGGCCACGTAGTCAGCTGCTGGCAGCTCCAGCTCTCCCTCTGGCTCAGGCTTCTCCAGTTCCTCAGCGTACTCGGCTGCTGGCAGTCCTGGTAGCCCCAGTCCTTCCTGCAGGTCACGTTTCCCCTGGTCCTGGGCCTCCCCTGGTGTGGCAGCAGGGTTGGAAGGGAGCAGCCCGCGGTCTGCGTCTGTCTCCCTCCCTGGTGCTGCCCTGACTGAGCTAAGGGCCCCGCCCTTTGTACTTCCTGACCCACCTCTCCCCTTCCGGGGGGTGGAGTGAGCTTCGCACTCAGGCTGAGAGAGCGGCGCTTTACCCTCAGGTTCGGAGGGAAGCCACCCTGGTTCCCTACTGGTATCATTGACAATATGCCCTTCCTACAGCAGCCTTGGTTGAATTCTTCTTTTTGAAAGGTACATCTTTCATAAGAAGGATCATATCTCAATGATGGCAGTAGAAGTTGATCCATAAATTGGAAAGGCCCCTGAAACACACTGCTCAAAGAAAAAAGCAAAGAAAAAAACCATCACAGGAAAGTGGTTTTTATATTACACTGCTACAGTACCAATGCACAAGTGCTCAAAGCACTCATTCTTTGGCTTTAGCCTCAGCACCTGCTTAATGCACACTGTTATGCCAGCACAATGACTACCAGTCATGTGTTATTACCTACTTATGGGTAGTTACACTGCCCCTGGATGATCATATCACCCAACTTCTTTATTTAGCCAACCCTGCTATAAATTGATTTAATTCTGCTTTTAGGGACTTCTTACCTGGAAGTGTCCACTCAGGGAACTTGGCTAGGGCTGCTAGCTAGACATAGGCCTAAACCAGAGGTGCAAACTTTTTGGTAGAAAATTTAATTCATGAGCCTCCTCAGGCATTAGTTTACATTTCCAGATATATCCTGAGAAAGTTAGATCTCCAAAAGGCATGCTACACTCATCTCATCAGAGTCAGTGATCCCTAGTGATGTTCCAAATTCAAGTTGAAGGAGCTAGATGTCCAAAGGCTATTGGGAGAGAAAGAGTGTCTCTCTCCCCACCCCCACTTTGGTATATCACAGCCTACACCTCACGGAAAGGGGATGTCAGTAAGCTATGGGTTTAAAGAAACAAAATCGCAAGTGGTATAGTTTTTCAACTGTACTAAACATTTCTGCTCACTTCATGTTTTTGTAAAAAAATGTTACCCAACCAATTTGGAGGCAGATATGACTAACACTGTAGGGAGAAGAGGATGGGCAAAGTTGGATATACAATAGAAGCCTGTGGTTAATATTGTTAGAGCAACTACTGCTATTGTTTAACTGGAAATTCCTTTCCAGCTTTTTTTAAACTGAAAAATCCAACAATTATAGTTTGTTAATAAAAACAGTCTAGCACTCATGAACTATACAAAAATGAAGCTGTGCATATTTACATACAATTCAGATTTAATGTAGCATTTCCATTTTCCTCAATTTCTTTTTAAAGCAACCTCATTCAAAAAAAATTATTTTTGACGGTTTTTGGTGTTTCAGAGAAAGAGTTTGTATCAAATTTGATTCGCTCAGAAATGACTAGCAGGGACTTGCTGAATTATCGGCAAAATACGCCAAAAGAAAGTGCAGTCCATGATACAATGAAGCCTTCCCATGCCCCTTGGACAGAAACAAGGGAAGAAGTGAACAAGTTCAGGTAAAGTCTGCTTTAATATTGGTAGGATCAGGAATTTGTCAAAAGGTTAGGAGTTCATGATCATTGTAGGAGAAGGATTCAAGTTTTGAACGATTTTCTGAAACTTACCTAAAGCGCTGATGTCTGCAAACTTAAGCTGCAAATCTTGAGAGAACAATTTCTCTCTCTTCCTCCTGATTTCAGGTGCTTCTCTACTTCTAGTCCTGGCAGAAATATTGCCAAGAACAGAAGTATTGAAATATTACCACAGAGGCTGATTCTGTATTAGAAACAAAAGCCCAGGCCTGCAAACACTTACGCAGGTGCTTAAAATTTACGCATTTGGGTAGCTCCATTAAAGGCAGACTGCTCACAGATGAAGTTACTTTTGTGCCCATTTGTGTACGTTTGCAGGATTGGGGCCTAAAATAGTACACAAAAAGAACTCACAATTAGTCAGGCTTTTCACAACTGCCCCAAAACATTCAGTTTGAATTTAGCTCACTCCACGCTAATTAAGATGGAGAAAACACATTTTCATATTGAGCAGAGTTTTTTGTTTTGTTTTTTAAAAAAGCTTAATAGGTTTTGCAACTTTTTCATGCTTTGGCAAGGTACTATATGAAACTCTGCAAGAGATATTTGAAATTGTACATGTTCCTATTTCAAAACTCCCCCAAATCCAGATCATTTACCTGGGGCAAAGGATTATTCTGCTTCTAAATCCTGAAAGTTGTTTTTTCTCATCGTTGCCCACAGTCATCAGTAACACATAAATGACGTGTTGGGGAAGAGATACGCCTTTTACTACCAGAGGTGAGCCTGGGCTACAAATCTTCAGTGTGTAATATGTTCTGTACATCTGTTGCTGACTATGCCTGTAGACCTAGGAGCTGTTTTGTTTGTATTATTCAATTGTTCTTTAAAGAAATTAACTCACCAAGTCAGACTGGTTTTTGGAAGGAAACTTTTCATGCAGAAAAGGCAGAGAATTTAGAATAGAAATTAAGAATGGAATTAAGTTTAAAAATATTAGTGGTAAAAATGTTGGTTTTGTGATTGACGCTTGTCAGCTAGAGCTTGAATTGAAAATGTTGCTAGGTAGGAGAGATTCCATTCTTGGGTACCAAGTTATACAAGTGGAGCAGTGCCAAGGTTTACAGGCACCAAAGAACCCTTTAAGCCATTGCTGCATATAGCAGCTAACACAAAATGCTTGCTGTTTCTTTTTTTATGGCTTTATAAGCTCTCCCTGTTCTATTCAGGCCTTCAAGTAAAGCATCAGAAGCAAGTAAAGGAATGGAACAAGGTAGGTGATGGAAATTCTAAGACACTATACAGCTAGAAATGTATTCAATGCCACAGTGCAGATGTATTGCACTTTGAGGTTTTGTATGTAAGATCCTTGAACATTTTAAACAGTTTAGAGTCTATTTTTACACTGGGATGAAGAAAATTCAATGGCAGTATGAAAAATACAGCAGTATGTCAAGTTAATTGGGAGTTAGATTTCTGAGAATCTCTGCTTTTTATTACCACCATTGATTCAGCCTCTCTAGGAAGAGCATTCATGCATAACTTTCCCCAGTGACTGCACCTCATTAACAAAGCAGTGCAAAGTATACTTATTTACAGCTGCTGACAATCTTACTTCAACCACCACAAGGTTTGATCTTTCTGTAAATTCTCCTGATTTCTTCCTCCACACAGTCAAAACCTCCTGCTATTCCTCAGACGTGTGCCCGAACTCTTCCTGTCAACTAACTTTTGGATTCCACCTTGCCTTGCACCATCAACCAGCACATCTCCCTCGTCCTCTAAATAAAACATGCTTTCCTAGTCAGTCTCCCTCAGCTACCAAAGACACATTTACAGCCCCTACCCAGACAGTTTCACCTCCCTCAGATCACCACTTTCCAGGTGTTATACATCTGGAGTGCAGTAAAGGTTAACAAAGCAGCACAAGCCAAAAAAACCCCAGCAGTCTCAATAAGGAGACTACCCCTTCTACAAAAAAGTTGCAGTCTGAGTTGTTTACATGATCATGAGACTGTGCTAGCAGTAACCTGTATTAGCACTCCAGGATACAGTGAGTTTGACACCCCCCCCCCCAAAAAAAGGGGTGGGAGGTCACTCTATTTACACTGGTTCAAAAGTACTACTATAATTCTAAGTGAGTGAAAATACATAGTTTATAATACCTGTGGGTGGAGACTTTACATGGGAAGGATGAGAAGGGAAACCAGGGAAGGAATTTTGTAATTTCTCAGAGACCAACAATTTTCTCTTCTCAAAGAGTCATCCAGTTGAAGATCCTCCATGCTACTATTTTCATAATATACTACCAGAAACACATGTTAAAAGCCAAACAAACATTGAAAAACAAAGCCTAAGCTTAGTGTGGTATACAGCTTTATTGTTCAAAAATCTTTTCCAGAAAGGGAGAGAGATGGTCATTTGCCCACAAGAGGGGAGAGACTTACAATCCCAATTTCTGAAAATGTACGAGGAAGGTCCTCCAGCTCCCAGGGAACGAGCCACAGTCCTTCCTTAGCGCTCCGACAAAAGCCCCACCTCCGCTACAGCAAGTTATCCACTGATCAGAGACATCTTACTGCCAGAGAATAACTTCCTCTTTAAAGCTTCTGAAACAGCACAACTGTTCCCTTCAAGTATTACCATATGTACTATTAGCAACAATAATTAAAAACATACCTAAAGCTGGCTTCCCCTTTAAAAACAAACTTGTGTTAATTTCATTTAGTCCCTAAGTGTTTCATCAAAAATCACTGAAGAGTACATACAGAATGACTTCTCCAGAAACTTTTGGATATGCTCTTCGTTCAAAATGCCTATACAAGTAAGGTTAAGAGAACTGTAAATAAAAGATGTTTAATCTACCCTGCAAGACTCTTAACCCAGGCATTTCATCTTTAAGGAAACCTACACTTGCTATTAACTTGGAACATCAAGTGAAGAGAGAGTATCCACTGCTCATATGCTTTCTAGCCTCTCTGAAATGATGCACTGTACAGCAACTGGGCAGTACTATATTACACCTTGATTACAACTTTAGCTGTTCGTGGAGTTGTAACCACGGAACTAATCTTTTTCTCTGCATTCTAGAGTATAGCACATGACACCGTAAGAGAGGGTAGCAACTTGATCAAAAAGCTCAGGCAACAAATTTAAATGCTTGGCAGCTGACTTGCCCCCTAACAAGTATGTGCATGTATACACATATTTGTGCACAGGAGTCAGGCCCACAAATGGATACATTGTGTGTGGATACACCAACTACTCATGTAATTAGAGAGATACATGGGCACATGTATGTTTTGCAAGGTGCAAGTCACGCACCAGTTTTTGAAAAGCTGACCCTAAATTTTCAATCCTAGATCACTAGAAAAAGCATGACTACAGGCAGAATGACATGCTCTCTGCAAAAAGAGTAAGCAATTATCTAGATCAATTCCTCTCATAATAACTGAGAAGTGTCATGTATTTAATACTGGGGGTGGGGTGGGGAGAAGGGGAATGAGGGGAAAGAAAGGATGGACAAAAAGTCCCAACAAAACCAACTAAATAAACCCAAGATCACAGAAATGGTGGCAAGCACAGCCTATTTAAAACTGGAACCATTTATTGAAACCCTACCTTAACCCACCCTTTTGGGCATGTTTGGATAAGAGAGGTCACACCTCTGTTTTTGGTTCACTAAAAGATGTAGGCCAGAGGTTCTCAAGCTTTGATCTGCAGCTCCCTGGTTAACAAAACAACAGAATGGTCACATGATGCTATCACTCCTTGTTTGCACCTAAGTCACATTGAAAAGAAACAATTTAAAATATTTTAAATTAATACTAATTTTCCATGTAAACAATTGCTATTGTTGCTCCAGGAGTAAAGGACAACAAGTTAAGGATGCAGGGAAAACAACTGAAATCTCTTGGTTGATATCTTATTTCACTACTTACCTTTGTTCTTTAAAGCAAATAACACAAAGTCAGTTTGAAGAACAGTAGAACAAGCCCAATCTAACAGAGTATGAGAGTCATTACTGAACAATTGATGGCAACAATGCTAATGTGTTCTTTCAACAGCATGCTTAACTTTCCTCTGAAGCTGCTTATGGTCCTGGTAGGTTATTGAGCAAATATATTAGAGCGGGAAGTGTGTTGGTTTACAAAGACAACTACAATCAACAACATTTTCTAAGTTTTTTCCCCCCAATACCATCTGTACTTATTTGCATAAGTACACAAAGCTAGTCTCCCCCCAATCTTTCTCACTGAAGATAAGTTACAAGATATGTACATTCACACATGTGGCGTAAGTGCTTCAATAAATATATTTAACAGGTCAAATAGTCCTTTAACCTATTAGTGACAACCCATTGTACTTAATCTAATTTTTGACTGAGCCTAATAAAAATGCTTCATAATGAAATTTTCTTAAGCTAAAGAAAGTGTGCATGTCCTCCAATTCCCCCTTTCACTCCATGCCCTTGAGCACCTGCTCTTTTAGTTACTTGGCTTCCCTTCAAAAAAAGACAGTACGTAGCAATGATGGACACTCCCATAAGACTATTCTTGTGAGGTAATTACATTTCATCCTACTATAACAAAATCAGATGGCCTGTCTTCAAACTATCACTGTCCCTGACACTCACAGCTGAATCTGCAGGATCCTATCTGCTGTGATTGAAAAGGCTCAATTAAAAAATTTTATTAAAGCTAATGTTAAAGAAATTATATAATACATAGGTTAAGAAAAGCATGTCCATACATCTGGGTATAGTGCTTAGATTATCCAAAAATACAAAGTTTCTTTTAAAAAGTCATATGATACACAGAGTACATCATCAGCAATAACCCAGCTTTAGGTGAATAGATTTAACAATACAGTTTAGATATTAGAATCCAAATACTCGGGTACATCACTCATGAAAAGTTGTACAGAGATTTGGTTGTGGAAAGCAAAACATATCAATGAGTTGGAGATTGTCCCTCAGTAATTGAGAATTTTGCTACACTAGTTTAACACACTCCACATCAAGCATTTTTAAACACTTCATGAAGTGCTCAGGTTGCAATCCAATATTCCTCAGAGTATTTATACTCCATTGCTCTTGGGAGCTATTCCCATGTTACTGGAGACTCGGCTGATTTATTAAGTGTACAATATTTGCAATGCACAATAAACAAATAGCTATGAGTTATATACCCTTTACAGTCCTTACAAAAGGACAAGTTTTCAAGAGCTTCACTCTTCATAAAAGTGAGCACAGAGCTCTCTGGCTGGGTAGAAGTTCAAAGTAATTTCAATAAACAGTTAAGAGGGAAGCAGATAAAAGAGTAACAAATAAGTAGGAATAATGTTGAATACTATTAAGTTGACTATAAACAGCGAATTAAAGTTAAACTTGATGTCAAAATGAATGTGGGAGATATAGTGGCCTGTGATAAATAACACCTAAATATCTGGAGAAGAAGGGGAGAAAAAAGACGGATTACCTTTTGTCACCACTCTTGATATTGCCTCAGAGAGGCATCAGGATTGCACAACTCAATTGCTTATGGTTTATCAACAATATACTCAGCCTTGGAAAAGAAATAAAACAAAGATGTCCCGGCCCCAAAGTGCATGTTGTTTAAAATACTGACAAAGGAGAAGACATGATGCATTGGGAGAGAGAGGAGTCAAGTTAAACTGATCTGGCTCATGTATGGACCTTGGTGCCTTACAATTGCCAACTGAGCTGAAAAATGATGTTGCTTGTCTTAAAAAGTGCAAATTTGAAGTTGGTAGAAAGTTTTAAGTGAGTCACATCTTCCTCTCCAAAATGAATCACTTTGCCCACGACAGAAGTCCTGAATGTTTCACTTTGTGTTGCTCTATTTCATTGATCAAGAGTCTCCTACTTGCAAATGATTGATTTTCATATTATGCAACTCATTATTTTAAAAATGGTAATGATGAGCACTCTATAACCACTTTCAAATCATTATATTTGATACAGTAAGACATGGTGATATATTAGTGCAAATTAAAAAAAAAAGAGAAACCAAAAACTTGAGGCAGAAGCCAAATGAGAGAGGTAGTGGCTGACACGCACTAGAGGGGAAAACATAAGAAAGAAATTGTTTTAAATAGTGTGTAATATGTTGAAACAAAGACATGAATATATTTCAAAGTTATCTGCAGAAGATGTTGTAAAGTGTCCATTTCAGAGCTTCTTTCGGTTTAAAAAAAAAAAAAAAAGAATTCTTGCTTAATATGTAAATCACACCAGTGAAGAGACAAGAGTATATATTTTGTTGTTAAAAAACAACTTCCACCATACAAAAGAAAAAAATAGTTCTGGTCAATACAACAACGCAGAAGAACTACCTTTTAGAATTGTGAAATTAATTCCACATGAATAAGTTGTAGCATTTAATTTTAATGTGCTCAAATCTGAGAAGGAAACAAGACATGTGGTAGAATTAGAGAATCTTAACTGAAACTTCAAATGCTTAGATCAGATTTAATCAATACTATGTGCAGCAGTATGCAATACCTCAACTGTAAAATTACACTTTGTACCTTTGCTATTTTATACATTTGTTTATTAACAAAGGAAACTGGTACTTGGCAAGTGCTTTACTTTGTTTATGCTATACATTTCTTTGGCTCTTCAAACAAAACAAGACAATGCTTTTGTCCAAAAGTTTCTCCAGGTTCAGAGACAAAATGTAACATATTTCTCTGTGGCATATCTACACAATAAACCCACCACAGTATTTTATTTGAGCAACAAACTGTTGTCCACGACCTAAGGCAGATGAATCTTCACTGTAGTTTATCAGATGGTTGCCTAACGAGTTCTCAAAATTCATTTTTATTAAAAAAAAGCATAAAAATGATCACACTGAACATGTCAAACCATAATTTGCTTGTTGCCAACCCTGTAAAACTATAGGCCACATGTACATCTACACATATTTCAGTTCAATTCCCAGTCTGAAAGTGGTGACAGTGGAGGGAGGACTGGAGCTGGATACAGAGCCAGTCATATCTACATCACCTGTTCAAAACCAGCCCACGTCACAAGTGACCAGAAGCTGCTATCATCCAAATGCTCTTTGGGAGTCTATTGAGGATTGCAGACTTGCTCTCGGTAGGTACTTGTTTGTCCACATCCCAAAAGCTACACTACAACTGGCTCCCTTCTGGATAGTCCCTGCAGAAAGGGATGAGAGAATGGCCTCACAGGTGTGAAAGGGCACCTTCTGCCTCCAAGGCTGTCTTTGGCCTGCTTCAGGTGTACTGAAATGGCTATTTTAAAATTTTAGTTAGAACAGAGAGCTTCAGTTCAAAAGGCAAGAAGAGTAACTTTTTTTGAAATATTCACAACCCTGCCAGAGAAGTAGGATACTCATTCTATAGGCAGGTCTGCTGTGACAGATGATGTTTTTAAAAAAATTATGGTTTTAAAGTGTCCAAAGCAGGCCCAAAGCAGAGTTCCTGGCTCCCAATGTTTTTTTCAGAGACTATAAGACCGTTCTTTGCTCAGAAAACCCCCCACTGATGGTGAGAGGTTATACACACTTTGCAACAGGCAATGCCGGAAGGAGCTTTCAGATTTATTAACCTTTGACACTCATTGCTTTTAAGACATAATACAAGATAGAGGTGGATAGGGAAGAATAATAAAATATCAAGGGTACATACACAAAACAGGGACAGTTACAAACACATTAATTATTAGGTTCCATCACAAGCTTCAGGAAAATAAAATAAAACCGTTCTGTGTGTATCAAATAAAATATTTTAAAAGGAAAATAAATATTAGCTTCCATAACAAAATATGTTCTGCATTTGCCATTAATTTACTTTATAAAAAGCTCCAAAAATGAAGTATTTTCAAGGTAAAAATAACATTAATCTTTACCACTTCTTTCCAAGTGTTACCCCTTCTTTCCAAGTGTAGCCACTTAAACAAATACCGCTAGTGAGATAGACTGTTCTCAGAGGTTTCATCTAACTCATGTCTTATTTCTATCCTTTGTGCCACATGCACTTTTCATTCCTGCCCTCTTCCAGAGTTGCCTAGTCGCTGTCCGAGCTATTATCTTCACCAGCCTCTTTTTCATGCAGCTCATGTTTGGAAGAGTCATTGGCTTCGCCCAGAGGACTGGCCCCTTTCCGTGGTGGCAAGACACTGAAAAATGCTTCCTTCCAGTTTCTCTTCTCCAGATAAGAGAGGATTATCTCAAACACTGCAATCAAGAGAGACCACCAGCTCTTCAATAGTGAAGTAACTGTTCCTGTCAGAAATTCAGAGACTAATTCTTAAAGAACACACGTTTAAAAACATAAGCCAACGTTGCAAGGATCTTACCTCTTCTCCCAACAACGCAAAATAAATAAAGCCCTTCGGGTTAAACAGAAAATGTAGTACTGCTGCAGCAGTCAGTTCTTGTTCTTGTATAAGCTTTCCCTCTGCCCCCAAAATAAGTATGTTTTGAAAATTATTTAGAACAGCCTTACAAAGTCATGGAGATACACCCAACCCAGACACAAAATGTACTTGCTTCCTTTTACTATGTTAAAGAATGGTGAAGAAAAGATAATTATCCAAACAAAAACAGTCATCATCTCTTCCTCCTACCCACCGCACTCTGCCATGTTACACTTGTGCCACACTGATTTAGTTGTATTTGTTTTTAAATAAAAGGACAAGTTAATGTTCGCCCTAAATTTGACCTGCCTTGTTATACTATTTTGTAATTACTCTATGTGTAGTATGCTTAATCTTCTAAGCGCTTTATAAGCACTTAAATCTTCACAATGATCCTCCAAACAGACAAATAAATATCTACATTTTACAGATAGGGAAATGGAGGAAAGTTGCTTAACCTCTCTGCCTAATGCTGAGAGGGACTCAGCATCCAAGCTAGCAGTTCCTAGCTCACAGTCTTGATAGAGAGAGAGTGGTCTCAATACAGCAGCCAGAACTAGAAAGAATGTTCAGAGGTGGAGGGAAATTTTAAACAACATTTTCCAATACAGTAACTCCTCATTTAACCTTGTCCCGCTTAACGTTGTTTCAATGTTACGTCCCTGCTCAATTAGGGAACATGCTCGTTTAAAGTTGTGCAATGCGCCCTTATAACGTCGTTTGGCTGCCTGCTTGTAAGATACTGTGGAAGAGCAGCGACTTTACAAGGGAGCATTGCACAAGTTCCGCTTCTCCGCCTCCTCCCCCTCCCTCCCAGCGCTTCCCCCACTGCCAAACAGCTGTTTGGTGGTGCTTAGGACTTTATGGGAGGGAGAGGGAGAAGCAGGGAAGTGCTGCGTCTCCAGCTGTTTAGCGGAGCTTAGGATTTTCTGTGAGGGAGGGGGAGGAGTGGAGACGCGGGGCTTCTCTGCTCCTCCCCCTCCCTCCCAGCACTTCGCGCTTAGGACTTTCTGGGAGGGAGGGGCAGGAGCCGGGAAGCGCTGCATCTCCGCTCCTCCCCCTCCCTCCCAGAAACTCCTAAGCGCCGCCAAACAGCTATTTGGCAGCGCTTAGGACTTTTTTGTGTGGGAGGGGAAGGGATGTGGCGTGCTCTGGAGAGGAGGTGGAGTGAGGGTGGGAAAAGGTGGACCTGGAGCATTCTCGGCAAAGGCCAAGCCTGTTCTTCTCCGGGGAAGCTGCCGCTGCTGCAAAGGTGCTTCCTAGCGTCCTTGCCTGCAGCGGGCTGTGCCTGTGTGGGGTAAGCCGGGGCACTTCCCAACTACAGTACAGTACAGTATATAATGCCTTTTGTCTACCCCCAAAAATTTCCTTGGAACCTAACCCCCCGCATTTACATTAAATCTTATGGGAAAATTGGATTCGTTTAATGTTGTTTCACTTAAAGTTGCATTTTTCAGGAACATAACTACAACATTACGTGAGGAGTTACTGTATTACAAAGTACTAGTCTTAGAATGTTATGTTTAGCTGAAGGAAATAAAGTTTCTTATCCATATAATCATCTCTTGGCTATGCCTGATACGGTATTTTAGATCCCAACAGATGAGAATCTTTTAAATCCTAAACCAAGTACAGTAAAAGCTATTTTATCTGGCACTTCACCAGTTGGAAAGCTCTATAAACCAGCATTTCTGATCTTCATTGAAATTCTGGTTTATAGTCCAATTGGCGTGGGGCTGGCAGGGGCTTGGGATGCGGGAGGGGGCGCCGGATCCAGGGGCCGCTCACCTTGGGAAGCTCCTCGCAAACAGCGACCTGTCCTGGCTGCTCCTAGGTGGAGGTACAGCAGGTGGCTCTGCGCGCTGCCCCTGTACCACCCCGAGCACTAGCAACGCAGCTCCCATTGCCTGGGAATCTGCACCCTGCCCCCCTCCCATGCCCCAAGCCGCTGCCCCAAACTGCCTCCCAAACTCCCTCCCAGAGCCCGTGCCCCGCACCCAAACTCCCTCCCTCTTTTTTCCACTTACCAGCACCACCCATTCCCCCAACATGCCGGATAAAACAGCTTTTACTGTAAATGCAATTTCAGATGTTTAAAATTGAACTGGCCATGAAAATCTAGAAGCTAAAATCCTTGTGAGATCTAATTATATCCCAAATGTAAATTTAACAGTGTTCTTGTCCATCTTCTACCACCAGGGGGTTCTATTTAATTAAAACGCTTGAGAGAATGGCAACCCTACTAAAATGTTTATATTATGGACCTATCCCTCTTCATGCCCCTCTGAGACAGTAGCAAGAGCGCCCAGCCTATGGGACCTGGTACTATACTTTTCATTCCCAAGAATAGCAAAGTCAGAACCGAACAGCTGTTTCACTGGGCAATAGCATATAGTGAAATAAATGCAAATATATATTTATAGTTTAAAAAAAAAAAGAAAAAATACATGAAAATATCCCTTACATTACATATACAGATATATAAAGGGGTGGCCCAATTCTGTCATCCTTATTCATGTCAAGTTGTACCTCACATGAAAGTATTCCTATTGAAATTGGGCCAAATAACATTAAGGTTACAATATGTGCAAGGGATTGAATTACAATAGTTAAAGGCTCCCTACATTTTGAATTTCCTGTCTTTTGTGCCTAAAATCCTCAACAAGGATATTGCATTAACATGGGATTTTAATAGAAGTACTTTACATGTTTAGTGCTTTTCAATTATCGTTCTCAAAATGCTGTACAATGGCAGATAACCATAAACAATCCCATTTTACAGATAGATTCAGAGAGGCTAAGAGACTTACCCAAAAACACAGAGTGGATCAGCAGAAGAGTCAGGAATAGAACTGTGATCTGACTCCCAGCCTAGAAGATAGCTCCCAGAAACGATACTAGAGGTCAGTTTACGACTGTTGCAGGAGAACTACTAAAATGGCCCCAGCTAATATCCTGCAGTTTTAAATGGATAATATGTGGAACCCTGTTCTCTACCTTGTGATATAATATTTAAAGCTACAGCTGTGTGTGTGTGAAATGCTTCCAATATATGGATTTTGGTAATACTTAAGTCGCTAGTTAATGATTAAGCTTAAGAGTCAAAGTTATAGTTGATTCTCTGCTAAATTTATGATGGACATCCACTGGTAATTCTGAGACTGGATGAGCATGCTATTGCACACATCATTAACATTTGATAATATTTAAGATAATAAATACTTTAAGCAACAACAATAAAACCAAACTTGGACATTTTCAATAAAATAAGAGACGGTAGAAGAAATTCAAATGGTGAAAAATAAAGACACATAAAATAGTAAAACCAAATTAAAAAAAATTAAAAAAAAAAGTTGAGCAGCAACCACATTGCATATGCTTATATTTAAATCTAACTAATCTAACTAAAGGTCCCAGGTGTCAAAACTGAAAGATTAAGTTTTTTTTTTAAAAAATAAAAAGATAAATTAGGTAGAGACTGTGGTTGTATACCTCAACCTATCAGACTCCGAAAACCAAGTACATGCATTCTGGGCTCTTCCTAAATGCCAATGCAAGGGAATCGGGAAGAGAAAACAGAATATTGCTAAAAGCAAGTAGAGTAAATTGTGTAACTATCCACCACATAATCAATGCACACCAAACTGTGAAACAGGGCCAGTTTTTCATCTCTTTTAAAGGGACTAGAAACACAACGGTAAATCCTAATATTCTGGTCCTTCGACCGTTTTTAAGGAGGAAATTTAGCAACTGTGGGTAGGATTTTCCAGAGTGCCATGTTTTCCATAGGACAACTCAATGGGACTTAAGTTCCTAAGTCACTCAGGCACAACTGGAAAAAATCTCACTTTTATAAAGATTAAAGGCACCCAGCCACTACTGAAATAAGAATTAGGTCTTTATGCTCTGATGTACTTTTGAAGATTCATATAATTTGATATTGCTGACAAATTCTGCACATTTTCATTTTTATTTTGCAAACTCATGACTTACCATGATTAACTGCCAATACTTTTCGGCTGTTCATTTTCACAAAATTTCCAAGTGGAAGCTGTGCATGACCAATTCCGTGTTCTAGTGCTTTTTTGTAAGTAATCCCCTGCAGCAAAGAAAAGCCCCAAAAAAGTTAATCAAGAATCACGATTTCTGATAAGACTGTACAATACAGTGAGCTTTCTACCACTGGGAAAGAAAGACAAAATGAATAAGACAATTACTGTTTTCAGGCAGGGGTTTTGCAAGCAGTGTCATACTGTTGCAACTCAAGACAAAGTGCGAAGTGCAGTCTGTTTTAAGGTAGTATTTGTGTTGAACACTAAGAATTAATACAAATTACTCAGAATTGTATCTTGTTTAGCAAACATTAAAACTCAAGTTTACCTGAGCTGTTTATTATTATTATTATTGTTGTTTTTTAAGAGAGCAGTGCTTTTGGTTTGTTATTTTAAATTCTAGTACTACTTTAACACTTACTTTTTCATAAGAAATTGGTATTGCAGTGACTACATTCTGCAGGCCAACAGAGCCACATTTAGCTCTCAGGCTTTGATAGTAGTTCAACCTGCTTTGTTCTGAAGAATCATTTGCCAAGACAAAATTTATCCCCCAATTTTTTTAATGACACATGAACTACAAAAAGTCACTACATACAACCACCTTCACTTTTGGTTCTTAAGAGTTTTACTGCACAAAATCAACCAATATGTTTTTTAAATAAGTATCCGTTTTTGCTGATTTGCATGTGTTCAGTAATAACACTGAATTACAGGCTGAAAGAGCAGCTTTAAAGAACGTAGTATCCATCTACCTTGTGGTGATTGTGATCCACCAGACCTCCAATTACATAGGCTTTAGTCTCATCTAGTTCATTCAGCACATCAGGGGAGTCTGATGTAAGATACACAAGGTCTTCCTTCTTTATTAGCTCATTATAATGCTCTGATGAAATATGGATATCCTTTGAGATACAAAGAAGTTCAAAGGTTACTCATGCTATTGAATAATGCTTGGCCAGGCTAAACACCAGCACAAGTACCAATGGAGCAGTGTGACCATGCTGTCTATGCCAAGTCAGGTACAGTTTTGTCCCATATCCACTATACTGCTTTCTAGGTACCTATCCCACAGTTCCCAACACAGCTCTCAGAAGCAGTGGCTTGTGAAAAGTTTAAGGCCTTCTGCAATTCCTCTGGACTCTCAGAAGAGGTCAAACCCTTGTGACTCCCTGTGGAAAGTACCTGTGGACCTAAATCACTTCCAAGACCTTTTTTTGAAAGGGAAGCCAGGATAAATGCTCAGCTATTGCTTGGCAAGAAAGATTTCTGCTACTGCTTTTTAAAAGCAGTCACCAGGACTTGTGTGATGGAACTGCTCTATAATTTATCAATACAGTTTGTTGACCAAGTTATTGTATGAATATATTGGTTTAGTTTAATAGGTGCTGTAAGAAAAATCAAGCAGGAAGGAAAGAATAGCTCAAGGTATGCCACTTCTCTACAAACACTCAAGTGTTGTTAGGAAAGAATGCCAGGATAGGAAAGACGCTATGTACAGATCTATCACAGGGTTTAAAAATGATCACTCTCAAGAGAGGGAGTAGTTGTGTGGGCAAATCAGAACCAACAGACTAGACAGACACCCACTGGGGGTATCTGAAGTAGTTAGGGCCACCCAGACTACCATCAGGGGATGGTAAGCCTCTAGGTAAGAGACATACATGTAGATCATATCTTATTTAAAATAATTGTATAGCCCCACACTAACAGGCCAGCCATGGGTGTTTTAGTGCAGCGTAGACGTACCCAAAGAGATTTGCTCAAGGTCATACAACATTTGACAGAACTGCGTAAGGAACTCTGACCTCCTCCCGGGCAACGCTTCCTCATGCAAACAATTAAAATAACATGGGAACATTATTAAAGAAAAGGAGTTACAAGAATAAGAAACCCAGTATGTCAGCAGTCTTACTGAATGTGCCATTCTTGACAGTACTGGTGTCGTTTTCTGGAACCAGGTAAGATAGTATGGGTCAGCTCACTAACACTTCACCTCTGGAAACCAGAATCTAGTCTAGATCAAGGCATAACAGATGTATTTAGCTTCATGGTTAGTCAATACAATCTGAGATAAAAAGCCATGAATAGCAAGAATCAAGAAGTGAGAACATTACAAGTCAGAACAGAGATGCATCAGTAATATTAACTGAAGAAATGCCTACTTATACAAAGCTAGTCTTGAGCCAGGGCAGTCACTTGTATGAACACTAAATTCACTCAAAACTGAAGTCATTAAGAGATAAACTAACACCACTTTTTTGATATCTTGATAAAATACAGTACATGGAAAAGATACAAGCCAAAGTAACTGTAGCAATCCTTGAATGAATATTAAGATAGAAATTTCCCAGGAAAAATACTGAGTCACAAAATTGCTTAATTATCTGTCATTACCTTCCAGTTGACCCATCCTTTGTCATTTTCATTCATGTTGTTCTTCAACTGGCCTCCATGGCTGGTCAAGTAAAACTTGATACCAAAAAAAAAAAAAAAGTAGTACAATATCCAAATTCAAGACACTGATTTGTCTCCACACATGCTTTATCAGACAAGCTTTTTTTCTGAAGTGTTAACTAAAACTCACTTTCGTTATTTACTAAAGGAATCTGGCACTAAGAACATTTTTGAATGGTCAGTACAAAGGATTAAGGACTAAGCATGTTTTGCCTTATGTGCTGCAGAAAGAAAAGTGGACATCCAAAAGGTATTTTGGACTGGTAGCTTTTATATTGACATTCACATGCCTTTTTATCTATGTAGCTATTTGTATGGTGCTCACTATCAGGAAGGTAGTGTTAGCATTCCTTTAATACAGGAATGACATAAATATGATCAAACTAAGTTATTTTTTTCATTTTACTAAAACTGTACCCTCTTTTGGGCAAGGACTGCCTCTTCTACATGCTCTGTACATCACTAAGCATGGCCAGTGCTCAAATATAGACAGTTGTTGTAACATACCTGTACAGGATGTAATGCTTTACGGTTTTCTGCATAACATCTCTGAATTTGCTTGTGAAGCTTCTTGACATCCTGTATATAACACAATTTGTTTTTATACAGTCCTTCAGACAGATCACCACAAAATGCTTTACCAAGAGTCAGTCAGAAGCTAGAGAGAGAGAAAGGAAGCTTTTAACCAGCAAAATAGATTCCTGAGTGGGACAGCATTAGACCCTTCGAGAGAAAAGGAGAATGACAGCTGTGAGGAAATTATGTACACACACACAAATATATGCATCTCCCCTAGAGTACATATTTAACCACTATTATGCAAATTGTGACTCGATTCACATTGTTCTACGTAATTATAAGTCAATGAACGACTGAATAATACACAATCTGTAACTCAATAGTAGTATGTGTAACTACTTCCAGAAATAGAATAGATTCCTTTATCATCATGTATCGGGGGTAGCCGTGTTCGTCTGTATCCACAAAAACAACAAAGAGTCCGGTGCTGCCACCGGACTCCTTATTTTTATCATCATGCATATTTTAATTATAAAAACACCCTTTCCCACCCACACAAAACACCCCATGCAAATTATACTATTTTTTTTTATTTCAAACAAGTCATGGATATCAAGTTCATCAATACCATGTTTTTATTTCAGTTACATAAAAACAATGTTTAGATTATCCAGCAAAGGACAAATAAAAAACAAACAAACAATGACCTTCCTCTAACCAACCGTACCATGAAACAATCAAAGTCTCCAGACCCTCCACCTCTAATCTCTCAGCCTCCATAAATACCTGAGAAAAAGCTATGGGCTTTGCACCCAAAAGAAGGAAGTGCATTCTAGAGTCAAGAAACTTTTATGGAAAATGCCCTACCAGCAGCTCCTTCTCATGTATCTCAAAGGAGCACCTCTGATCTCAGTTGTGACACTATGGCATAAAGAGAAATGCCTCAGGTAACTGAGTTCCAACCCATTTAGGACTTAAAATAGGTTCAATCACTTTGAACTCTACCCAGAAACCTACTGGACAATAGTGCCACTGAGTACTAGTGTTATATGCTTCCTGTATTACACTCTAGCTGCCAGTGTATTCTGTGCAGCCTCACACAGAGTGTAATACGGTGGTCTAGTCTTGAGGCATTACTCAGACTTTAAAATCTTCAGGGCAGAGACTATCTTTGGGCTTTGTATTTGTACAGCACCTACCACAATAGGATCCTGGTCCATGACAAGGGCTCCCAAGTGCTATAATAATAAAGACATAGATGATGGTAGAAAGGCTTGCATCAAAAAAGAAAAGGGTACACTCTTCTAGCCAGATGCAGGTAAAAAAAATGCCTTTTTGGCTACAGCTGTTGTTTAGTCAACAAGAAGTACAGTAAAACTAAGATGGCACCAGGGCCGTCCCTATAGGGGTGCAGGGCCAGGGACATAGAAACTCGGCGCCTATCTGCCAAGGGGGTGCTCCCCCCAGGCCCCACTCGCACTCCACCCCTTTCCCCACGTCCCCACCCTGCCCCGCCTTTTCCCCACCCAGTTTTGCACACGCTTCCCCCCGCCCCCGGCGCCTCCAGACACCGAAACAGCGGTAGGCACTGGGAGGGTGGGGGAGGTGCTGATCGGCGGGGCCCACAGGTGAGCAGGAAGTGCTGGGGGGAGAGGGAGGCTGGTAGGTGGGCTCCTCCTCCCCCTCCTGCCTCCTCACGAAGCGCAAGGTCTGCCAAAGTGTGGGTCCCGGGGCAGTTGCCCCGATTTGCCGTATCCTAGGGACGGCTCTGGATGGCACCTGGCTTACAAATGGTGAAAACACTTCCTTAGAGTACAGAGGGGGCCCTTTCTGATTCTCCCTATTCCGTACCCCTACCCACCAAAATCACTCCAATCTTTTATTACCGATAAGCCAGTTCAACTTCATCCATCCTGAGATTTCATTAAAACTCTAAATTACTTGTTCTACTGGACCTTCCAGTTCTGATGTGACTGAAACAGAGCTTTGTATCACCATAATACTGAACACGCTGTAACCCATGTGTTCTCACTAACTCTGTTAGGGGCCTCAAACATACCTGGAACAGGAAAGGGGGTGAGGGAGGGGAAAGACCTCTGCAGTACCCCCCCAGCAGAGTGCTCTTGGAGCATGAGAAAATTTAATGGCAGATATCAGGGACAAGGTTCTACTGTCTATTCTGGAATCAAATCAATTTTCAAGAACAGATCTCCAGAAAGATGACTGCTATTTTTAGCAAGTTTACATAGAGGTAATCGTTTGAAATCTGACAAATTTAAGAAGCTAACATATAAGCTATCCCTCATGCACCAAGACAAAGAGATTATTTCATTTTCATCTGCCCATAAATTCTTCCATTCTCAGATCACGCCATATTAGTATCAGAGAATACATTTGCTTCCAATAGCAAAATTTCATTTACCTTTAATACCATCAAGTTGTCAAAACTGCAGTCTATAATAAGGCGAAGAGTACTAGGAACAACATCCCTACGTATACGCTTCCTGTCACTCCCCTCATTGTTAGATTCCAACTGATACTGACGCTCCAGTTTTCTTTTCTGGCGTTTCTCTTTTCGTCTCTGCCTAAAAAAATATAAAAAGTTAAAAAATAAGGATTGTCTTGTACAGTTGGTTAGATGCTCTGCATGGTGCAGATGTTAGGAGAGAAACATATACTTTATTGAAAAGTTCAAATAAGAGATAGTGTGAGGCTGCCCCAGTTTCTTGGGTAGTCGTGTAGCAATGGAGGCAAGTTCAGAAACAACCAAAGGCTCATCTTTCTCTGTTTGTAGAATAGTGAGAAAACCTATAACACTGTGTGTCTGATCCAGAGCTAACTAACATCGCTGGAAAGAATCCCATCCATTTCAATGGGACTTGGATCAGGTCATATACTAGTAACAACCACTATGGACAAAAGGGCCAGTTAGGGGTCTCAGTGAAACAATAGATTTTACAGTCCAGATTCTATCAGGTATCTTTTCAGTGGCTAAGGAAGTATGCTACAGTGTGAGAGATGGGAAGCGTCAGCCCAAGATCAAGGCAGGAAACTGAGGCTCAAAAAGTTCATTCTGAATAGCCAGTGTCTTGGGAAGGTACCAATTGGTGTGTTGCTAAGGTTCATCTTGACCTAGAAGAGCCCATGCTTTGATACCCCTTTCCTTACCCCCAAAATAAATTCCTACCATCATGTCATCCTAAAAGATAATGAGCCACTCTGATTGTGACAGCATCCCGTATTATCAAAAAGAGGAGACTCTCACTGATTCCTGGTTCTAGCCTCGTTCATCAGGCAACAGGGGCTGGCAGTGATACAGGGGCACCACACTCAGCCAGTTCAGAAAGTAGACATAATACCTCTCGTTGCTCAGCAACAACCATTTTGACCAATTAGTGCAGAGTATTTGCAGGTTTGCCCTCCTGACATCCTCAATCTGCTGAGAAACAGTTGCTGAATCACAGATCATCGAGGAGGATGTTAATTTAAAATAAGTTCTCCCTGATGCTCTGGCAGAAAAGCCCAGCATGTTTCTCATACTCCACATTTGAACCAACACTGGCTTTAATTCTCTTTTTTGCTGTGAATGAAGTTTACGTACACATTCTGTTCACATACATAAGCATTAAAATTAAATACTGGATTGGAATCAGCAACATAGGAGACATAATTCAAATCACACCTGCGTAAATCTCTTTGCTCTTCCCATTGTTTCTGCTTCATTAGCTTCTTCATTTGCCTCTTTGACATAACTCCAATGCTCTCTGCCTTGTCTGATCCTGGCTCCCCTTTCTTGACTTGATTGTCATTTGAATTAATCTTTTCTTCCATATCAGGAACGTCTGTGGGTAACGGATTTTCTGCTGGCATTTCTGATGACATTTGCTTTCCGATGGCTTTAATGGATCTTGTCTAAAGAAGCTTGAATTTGTAGACTAAGTCTTTTTTTCCCCCAAGTCTGTTTCTGCAAGAAACAGAAGACAGAATAGTTCAGAAATACCACAAGAGGTCTAATTTAGATTAGTATCACTTTAAACCTACTGTAAATATTGGGGATAGGGGGAGACAAACAAGAACTGTAGACAGACTTTTCCCCCATTCTAAGCCTTGGTCTGTGCCTCAACAAGCAACTAATGCACAAGAGCAAGTAGTAACAAATACACCTCTACCCTGATATAATGCTGTCCTTGGGAGCCAAAAAATCTTACTGCATTATAGGTGAAACCCTGTTATATCGAACTTGCTTTGATCCACTGGAGTGCGCAGCCCCCCCCCCCCGAGCACTGCTTTACCATGTTATATCGGGTCGCGTTATATCGGGGTAGAGGTGTTTAACGGTAGTATTCAATACTTTTCTAGAAAAATCACCTCTTAGCTACAGATGGCATACCACCTATTTAATGGTTTATTTTAAACCCAGAAGGGAACAGCCTATGCTGTTCAGACTTGCATCTGAAGAAGTGAGGTTCTTACCCACGAAAGCTTATGCTCCCAGTACTTCTGTTAGTCTCAAAGGTGCCACAGGACCCTCTGTTGCTTTTTACAGATTCAGACTAACACGGCTACCCCCTGATACTAGCCTATGCTGTGTTATGACTAGACTCATTTAAATTCTGTGACCACCCAAGTCAAAATTGAGTTCAAAATTATCCCCAAATATATGTGGAGAAAGAAAGAATAGCAGGAGGGCAGAATTCTGAAAGCATGGCTCAGATGTTTGTTTGATTTTAAATAAAGTTCTTTGCTGTTTAGACAGCCTGTTTACTGCAAATTTCCCAAAGCTATCACTTTCAATAAACAGTTTTACCACTTCATTTTTTTAAAGAAATGTTGGAAATCTTGGAAATCTCATCATTTGTTGGTTTTCCAATCACATTATCCTATTTTTAAGTGTTTTTCTTTTCCCCTACCCTGTTACTGTGTAAATGCTGCAGACAAATAGGGAGCTAGCCCAGACCAACTGTATAGGGAAAAGAGTTAAATTAACTACCATGCATACACAGTACCCTGAAAGGCACAAAGTAAAACAGAACAAAGTAGAGAACGTTTCTCTACCCTTTCAGTTATAGTAATGTCAGAGATTAATCATAACAGCAGCAGTTCAAATTAATTCAGACAGAAGTTTGATTTTAAGAGGCCTGGGGGAGAGAGAGATTTAAAAAAGGCAGAAAATCTCTGTTTGGCTCTGGGAAACGCCTTGTCTGCTCAATGAAGGGGCGAACCAGAGGCAGACAGACGCTCCCGTCGCAGGACGGGGGACACCAGCACCCCCAGCTGTTTCGGATTTAAGCCTGAGCCCTGGTGCCGGGGCAGCTGAGCCCCCGGAGCGCGCCACAGCGCCAGGGGAAAGGCGTCGCCGAGCTCCTGCAACCCGACTGCGGACAGTCGCTGTTCTTCCAACCGCGGGGACCAAGGAGCCCCCGGGAGCCTCAGCACCCGGCTGCGGAGAGAGCGCGGCCCCGGCTCCCGGGCCTGATGGCTCGTGAGTGGGGAGTCCCGTCCCGTCCTCAACGCAGGCGGCTCGCGGCAGCGTTGACTCCGCGCACGCGCTGGGGCCGGGCGCATCGCACTTACCCGCGCGCGGCAGCTCCCACCCCCAACGGCCAGAACCACCACAACGCTTCCAAAGCCGCCCTCCGCGGCGGCCCCGGCGACTCAGGCAGCAACTGGAACCGGGGCGCCCATCTGACGTCATCGGCCCGCGCCACTGCCTTTGGGTCTTCGCGGGCGGGCTGGGCGCGCTCTGGGGCTGGGGTCCGGAGGGGGCTGGGGACGGGCTGGCCGCGGAGTCAGAGGGGCGGGAACGTGCCGCCCAGCAGCCGAGCCAGTCCCCTCTTGTACACACTAGGGTTACCATATTTAAACGTTTAAAAAAGGACACTCCACAGGCCCCGCCTCCAGACCAACCCTTCCCCAAAGTCCCTGCCCCAACTCTGCTCCCTCCTCTGAGTACCCCGCATTCCTCCTCCTCCCTCCCGCTCTGATCTTGGTTGGGGGTTGCTAAGTGCTTTCTTGCTCCCCTCTCGCCCTGCAGCCTCTATGCCCCCACCTGCCCTGCTCCTCCTTGCCCTGCAACCGCTCCACTGCCCCCCCTCCACCCACCTTGCTCACCCAGTAGAGGGAGAGCAGCGGGCTCCACCTGGAGCCAAACACTAGGCTGCTCTGAAGGGGAGGGGAAGGGACTCTGCTTGTTAGAGTCCCCAGTGGCTGTGAGCGGCTTTCAATCAGTCCCAGCCGTCCAATCAGCCGCGCCGCACTCTGCATGAGGGAAGGAGAAAATACCCAGACATTTCTACTGTATTAGAAATCCTCTCTCCCCCCCCCCCCCCTTGCTCAGCCATTTAAAACTGAAAAAGCCAGACATGTCCGGGGAAACCTGGATGGATGGTAACCCTAGTACACACACCTGAGCAACCCCGGCGGTGCAGCCCAGGGGAGGGGTTGCGCAGACCTAGCCTGGGTGAATCTCCCCTAGAGTGACCAGATGTCCTGATTTTTGGGTCTTTTTCTTATATAGGCTCCTATTACCCCCCACCTCCTGTCTTGATTTTTCACACTTGCTGCCTGGTCACTCTAATCTCCCACGAATGTCTAGTTTGCCACAGGTTCCCAGTGCCCCTCCCCAGCCACAACAGACCGGGCCACCAGGAGAAGAAACACAGCTTTCGGGGCTTGTGAAGTAAACTTCTCCCCCTTCCCTCCCCACAGCCAGGTGCCTCAGAGGGCAGTGACCCTGCTCTGCCAGACCCCTGCCAACAGCACACATGTAGCCTACCTCAGGTGCAAGAATCAGGACTAAGGCACGTGTGTAGCCTACCTACGGCAGGCAGCCTGTGCAGGGTGGAGGCCCAACAACTATAGCTGTTCCTGGCTGACACCAGTACAAACCAGCTGATCAATCTACAGCAAAACAATCCCGATATTTATCCACAGTGTCGCGCCTGTACTCACAAAAAGCTCCCAAATACAGTTAAGGAGGATGTGAGGAACATGGCCTAAAGCATTAGGGTATTCCTAGATAATAGTACAGCTACAGGACAAAATTTCTGTATGCTGTTATGATCGAGGTTGTGTTTGATATATCTAATTTTTATTTATGTTCATGCATCCCGCTATTTTTAGACTTCACTTTTCCTTGGGTTAATTTCCCTTGGTCTCACAGAATAAGTTATCTTGACCAGAGTGTTTCTGAAACGCATGTCTCTCATGACTACGCTATGTGGGGGGAGAAAAGTCTAAGAATATCATGCCATTGTTATTGGCAACATTTGAAAAAATATATATTTAAAATGACAGTTGGCAGCATAAGAAGAGATACAGTATGTATTCATCATTCAGTTTGTTATGTACACTGGGACTATTACATAAATTAACATGTTTTACAATACCACTCTTCCTAATGTTGAAAAAGCCTTAATCATCTTTTCTCAAAAGCAGTGGGGTCTCTTGATTCAGGGACTTAGTAACTGGACAGGAAACCTTTCACATTTACTATATAGGTCGCCATTTTAATCTGGTATAAAAATAGCAAACAACAACTATTACCTTCTAATGGTTGGTGGGTGGTTTAAGTGTAATACAGCCTTGGGGAAGTTGATCCTGCCACTGTCTAGCCTGTAATTGTTTTGTGGATTGTTGGAGGTTTTCAACTGCCAGTTTTGTCACTGACATTTCCTGCATGCTAGTCATTTGAAATGTACTTCTTCTCCAAGAAGTAAACTTTTCCGCATGGCCCCCCTGCCTAACTCTAGAGGAGAATGAAAAGATATAACAGAGGGAGTTGCTACCACTACCACTAACAAATTACTGAAAAGTCAAAAGCCGTGTCCTGCTATTTTGAGGATCTCATCCCAGTAATGGAAAATTTATCTACACACTTACCCGAAGTTCCTTCCCCTGCATCTGGTTCACCCGTGCTTGACTGGCAGGACTCCTCCTCTTCCTCATCCACCACCTCCTCCTCACTGTTCATGGCAAGGGCCTGGGACTCAGGCTCCTCGGAGGTATCCACAGTGATGTGTGGGAGGGTAGTGGGGTCTCCGCCAAGATGGCATGCAGCTTGTTTTAAGAGCAGTAGATCTGTAGCTTGGCACTGGATCAATTGTTGGCATCCCTGGGTCGCCCTTCTGGTATGCCTGCCGCTACTTCTTGGCTTTCATTCAGCGCTGCTGTTGGTCCCTGTTGCACCCCTTCTTGTGCAGCACCCAAGCAATCTGCTCATAGATGTCCATATTTCTACAGCTTGTTCAGAGCTGTACTTGCATAGCGTCTTCTCCCCATGCACCCAGGAGATCCACCATCTCCTGTGTACTTCAGGCATGAGTGCGTCATTGGGCAGCTGCATTCAACAATGGAGAGCCGTTAGGTGTGCTTGCCAAGCTGGGCAATCAGGAAAAGGAATTTTAAAAATTCACATTTGGGGGGGGGGGGGG